AGGTGTTCCCAAAAATTGCAGACCAGAAAAAGCTATACGCAATGGTCCTGCCCGGGTTTTGGATGGACATTGGACAACCAAAGGATTACATCAGTGGCCTGAGACTTTACTTGGAATCTTTGAAGAAGAAAGCTTCTCCAAAGTTGGCCTCTGGATCTAATATTATTGGAAATGTGCTAGTGGATGAGAGTGCAAAAATTGGGGAGGGTTGCTTGATTGGACCGGACGTCGCAATTGGCCCTTGTTGTGTTGTGGAATCAGGAGTTAGGCTCTCACGCTGCACTTTAATGCGGGGGGTCCGTATCAAGAACCATGCATGCATCTCAAGTTGCATAATTGGCTGGCACTCAACTGTTGGGCAATGGGCTCGCATAGAGAATATGTCCATTCTCGGAGAAGACGTTCATGTTGGGGACGAGATTTACAGCAACGGAGGAGTGGTTTTACCTCATAAGGAGATTAAATCTAGCATCTTGAAGCCAAGGATTGTATTGTAATTTTTAAAGGTCTGTTTTTAGCATTGTGGGTCTGTAATATACAGTGTGGTGTTTGAAATGTGCTGTTCATTTTTTATTTTTTTTCCCCATTCAATTGTAAAATTCAAATCTTTGAAATTGAGTCATTAGTGTCAGTCCTTTAAGGTTCCAGGTCTTAAAAAAGTATGGTCAGTTGTTCGAAAAGTGTAATCTTGTAAACGAAAACAAATGATCGCTTTCTTTCGTTTTGGGATACATATATATTTGATTTAAGGATGGCTAGATGGAAATGCTTTACACAATGATTCTACAAATTCTACCTCGCTGGAGTTGGTTAAAGTTCTTTTGTCACGCACCATTTATGATATTCTATAACTCTTGGCAGAATGTTACTTCCGCCCCATAAAAAAAAAAAAATGCTTAATTTCCTTTTTTGTCTATTTTAAATTATAGATCACTTTCCTTATTGAAAATATAGATATTTTTTTATTTTTTATTATGTCCTTATTTAATGTACCTTATCATTAATAAATCTAAACCAATCATATTTAAATCATTATT